GTCTGGACGCAGAGACTAGAGGAAAAAATCCTCTGCCCCGTCGGGGATCGAACCCCGGTCGCCCACTCCATAGCCAGCATTAATAATGATTTTTCTAGCAAACTTTTCCTTACAATTTTACTTGCTAAGTCTAACTTCCTTTATTGTATTTGGATTCATAATGAAACAAGTTTTTAGTAAAACACTTTTGTTTGTATTATGTGAAATTTATATAATAGTATGAATTGTATTTTATAATATGTATTGTATTATCATTATGACTTTTTCCACATCATGTTGTCATCTGATTATCTTATGGATCCATGGAATGTAATAAAGATGTATGTATGTTGCAGTCATGTGGTTAGCACTCCTACTTTGTATTTGGGGGTCCCAGATTCAAACTGATGATAGTCTGTTACCTTATATGTACCACCTAATTTGACATCCAAGAACTCTGCATTCTGCCAGTAGAGTGTATTTATGAGTTTTGTGTGATTCTCAGAATAGACAGCAGTTATTTCCCTAAATGGTGTCAGTCAGTTTATCTTTGTATTGGGGGATACATTTTGTTATCTTTGAAGTAGGAATTGAATTTCTAAATATGATTTAGATGAACTTTATACTTGGATGTGTTAAGAAAACCAGGGATAATTCACAGTGTTAAAAGCCACACTTGTTCTTTCAGACATAGCATAATTAATTGTATTGCTGGTGTTATGTGCCAGTACGGGATAAGTTGCTTGTTATGTTTTTATTTTCTTTGTATAGATCCTGAAAGAGCTGCCTGAAATTGAAGCACATTTGCAGGGAAAACAGTCTACTCTTATGAGAAGTTACACTACATCCCTCAGTTTGTATGTTGTTGGTGTTCTGAGGAGATACCACTGCTGTCTTCTATGTAAGTTCATTTAATATTGACCCTTCACTGGGGAGGCATTTAAGAACTATGTCAGGACTGTGTTTTTGGAGGTTTATTTATGTAGGAATTTAAATTTTGACTGTCATGTTAGGTTGATTCTTCTTGATTCACTGTATTCTGTTCTTTAAAATGGAAAATGTTGTTACTTAGGATAGTGTATGTTATTTTACAGTGTCTCCGGAGCAGACGACAGCTGTGTTTGAGGGTTTGTGTCGTGTAGTGAAGCATGTGACAAACCCAGGGGACTGTTCATCAGCTGAACGATGTGTTCTAGCTCATCTGTATGACCTGTACTCTAGTTGCAGTCTTCTCAAATCAAAACCTCATTGTGTCGAGCCATTTGGAAATGCTTATCCCAAGATACGACAGGCTCTTTACTCCACGGTTCAGCCATCTAGTTCAAACCATGTTTGCAATGCACAGTTTATGGCTGATGTATTCAGTAATCCACGCCGGGGAGGTATGGTTACTCTTAACAATGGACTGCACTGTGTAAGAGTGAAGTGGTTATGAAATTTTTGTGTGTTTTATTGTGGGTAATTGTGTTATCTTGCAGGTAAAATTGAACCTCATTGGGCTCGACAGTTAGCAGAGACGCCCAACAATCGTTACAGTTTTGTGTGCAACGCGGTTGTTGCCGTTTGTAATGAGACTGATAATGATCGTCTGAATGATCTTGCTATTACGTGTGCTGAGCTTACAGCATGTTGCAATTCACTTTCTGCTGAATGGCTAGGTCAGTAGTGTAGATAATTAGATACATTATCATATCCACACAACTTGCGATTTGTAGTTTATGAATCACCTAACAAATCAAAATTAACCACAACAAGCAAATGTATAGTCTGTCTGTGATCTATTCTTGCTACAATACTGCAGTTGGGTGATAGAGATTGAACTGTGATCACAAAACTTTCTCATAAAACAAGTGTCTTGAACTCATGTTCATTAGATATCAAGTCTGAATGTTACCTTCAAATCTTGTTTTATGTTTTTCCTTGTTTTTTAATATCCCTTCAAATCGCCTTTATATTCTGTCATAGAATAATAATTTTGTTTAATGTTTTGTAGGTGTTTTGATGGCACTGTGTTGCTCATCCAACCACTCCTCACATTTTATTGATGTGTTGACTCAGGTTGATGTTCAGGACTTGTCAATTCACAACTCACTTGCAGTTTTTACATCAATTCTTATAGGTCAGTATTAGTGTTATCATGTAGCTCAACTGCTTTATGTGTCTATTCGCTACAAAATCTATATTGTATTTTTCAGTTAGGTCACTTAGTATACCTATGTTGACTTTCGTTAGAACTT